GAAGTATCAGGTGTAACTGGTTAAATAGGAGTAAGAGTTGTGTTTCTGCATGTTTCAGTCGTTATTCGCCATCATCAGAAGACACAGCCAGCACCATAAAGAACTGCTTCATATCTGTTGTTCGAACATAGGTTGTTGCTCTGGTATAATTATTAATCCTATTAGATCAGTTAACACTTGGGCTTCTTCTAGACTTGAAAGGATTCTGACGATGGTGTATGCTGTACAGAACTATTAGGCTTATTTTTTACTCTATCCATCGTTTCGGAGACTGGATCTGTCTCCGTCCTCAGGTGGATGGGGCAGGATAGACGTACTCAGTGGGCCCGTTAGGAAGAGTTAGTCTCAATCACTGGACAAGCCCCCGGTCAGTAGAGAACAGCCTATAAACACCTGACAGCAGGTTTTGTCTTATATATACCAGACGATGGATAGAGTCCAATATAAGCCTAAGAGTTCTGTACTTGGACTTCTGCTGCATATTTATGTACTAAGAGGTGTAAGGTCCAAGATGTCTCTTGAAAAATGGTAAAGAAAACTCCTTATTTTATTGGAACCGAAGATTTATCACCGTTGTCGCAAAAGTTTACTGTTAGATCCAATTGTAAGCCATTCAAATTCAGGCCACAACTTTATACTCCATTCCTCAGAGATTAGTTTGATATTATCCTTCCATGCACTCCTAAATCTCCAAAAGGCTAACATACTGTACTGCATTCTTTTTTGTGCCCTCAATTTATGATCCTCCTTTAATCTGAGAATACAAGTTTCGTAAGCAATATATGATATAAATTCCGTCCTAAGTGCAACAATTTATTGTAGGTCTTTCGTTTTGCTTTCTTCCACACTACATGTTTCGTCCGCAAACAGCCATCATCAGGTGTATACACTCACGTAGCTGTTACACTGCACCCAGTTTAAAATTTAAAAACACACAGGTCTTCCCAATTGGCTAACAGGATCTACTTCGCTGATATTTGTCTGATTCGTACATCATCTTTGTCACCCACACACGTCAATTTTGACATTCATGAACTGGCACTTTTAAAATCTTCAGTTCAAATTTTAGAAAATTCCTTTTAAATTTTTTTCAAAATTTTAAAATTTAAAATTTAAAATTCTCAGGGTTATTCGCCCCACGTCTATAGTGCTGCAGCGGCTACTTCTTGTTTTCAGCACTGTACAGGTGTTATTCTGTGTAGGCTCCCTGTGTGCGTGCCGCTGCTTATCTTTACTACGTGCGGCCGAAACATGTAGTGTGGAAGAAAGCAAAACGGAAGACCTACAATAAATTGTTGCACTTAGGACGGAATTTATATCATCTATCGTATAGAGTGTAACAGGATGTTTAAATATAATTTCGTAAGCAACTCCATGGAGCAGAATCATTCTCGAGAAGCTAATAGTTGCTCAGCTAGATAATTTCACTGCCTTTTATGTAACCTGAAGGTCCTTTACTGTGTTCACAAGAGCCCGTCAATTCCGACAAGGTGAGCAGTTAGCCTTTTACGGTGAGGGGTTGTTAACCCCCCCCCCCCCCAGACCAGTTTATGAAAATATACATACTGCTGTACTTGTGTGATATCTCGTTTATGAGAAATACTACACAAGATTTGAGGATCTCACAGCGATGGTTGTGAGGAGTTCTAACTTCTGGGATAAAACTAAATGTAGCCCTTTTAAAGTCAACCGAAGTTTCGGAGGAATATATCTGTCTTATTGCTACCTGCTTCATGTTGGTTTCTTGCTTCACTTATTCTTCAACCCTGAAGATGGGGGCGACATGTTCCTCCGAAACGTCGCTCGACTTTAAACAAGTTACACGGCGTCATATCCTAGAAGTCTGACTGCTATACATATAAATTCGAGTTTTAGTGAACGGATGTGGGCTAGAATTAAATTCCTTCCTATAGATTTCATCTTAAGCCTTCAATGCAGAATGCTTTCAAAATCATTTTAAGCGGTTTCATACATAAAACCCGAGAACAGACCGACTTTCCAAATATGCATCCCCTTTTTGCATTGAATGCAAAGAAAGCATAAAACTGGCAGTAGTGTAATTCGTTTATTTTTATAAACCTTGCCGTTGGACCCAGCTAAAGAATCGGAGATTTGTACACCTTAGGCTGTCGAGATTAAGCTCTGTACACATTAGGCTGTCGAGATTAAGCTCTGTACACATTAGATTCTCAAGATTAAGCTCTGTACACATTAGGCTGTCGAGATTAAGCTCTGTACACATTAGGTTCTCAAGATTGAGCTCTGTACACATTAGGCTGTCAAGATTAAGCTCTGTACACATTAAACTGTCAAGATTAAGTTATATTTCCTCTTATTTTTCTTACCCCTGGCATTATCTTACTCTCCACGTCCGCCATAATGGCGTCCCAGTCTTCAGGATCATGAGGCGCTTCGGTGGGCAGCAATTCTCTTAGGTAACCTGGTTCGACACTAGGCGTGACCCGTCTTGATTCTAGGGTATCTAAGTAGCCACAAATGTAGTCCACCATTTCCTTTCCACGCACCCGAAACTCATTGACATCCATCCTATTGGAGAGAACGCGTTTCAGCTTTAAGCGTGAGAAGACAAAGAAAAGTCTAAGAGGTTCAGGGAGTGGCTGGAATTGATAACGATTTAGTCCACGGGAACAGTAACTGGTGATTTTATACTGAAAATATTACTGACACTGATTTCTTTTACCAATATTGTGTCGAACATTGTCCATTTTCTGAGGTGCATTTTAATAGTAGGAGTAGCTACACGATGTTTCTGAAGTTGACATTGCCTCCGTAATTCCCAGGCATTAATCTCGGAACCGTTTCACTTATACGTATGGAAGTTGGAATTGTCTTATGGAGGATTCGCAACACGACACCCTTACAGGAAATTTGGGTTTCAAGAAACGCGGCCGGTGCGAACACTCACCAAAGCCAAAGCACGAGTAAGTAAGTAAGTAAGTAAGTATAAGCACAACAGACCACTGTAGGTCGCGGTGCAAGGGTCGAGGAGGCCTACCCCTCATACATTCATACATTCAAGTAAGTAAGTAAGTAAGTAAGTAAAGTTGTCCCTGTACCCAATTAAGTACATTGTTGAAGGCATGTGAAGGGCTAGGGTTATAGGCACCACGTATTCATAAGCTTGGCACTAGATGCAGATCAATGAACAGTTTCAGGTTCCGGTCGCTTTGCCATGGGGGAAAGAGCACAGGGTAAGTCTAAGATGCAGTCGCGAAGAGAATAACTCCTGCCTCTGTCAGAAAGTGAAGTCTGGTCGTCGAGCCCGTAACCCAGGCTTCAAGCAACTTGAGAGAGAGAGAGAGAGAGAGAGAGGCGTGAGTGGGAGGATATTATTAAAGTATAATGTGAAAATTTTAACTAGCCCCGAGTCCAATAAATGTGGGTCTGTCGTTATGTAAGCCACGATTTTTTTCAGTTTGTACCGAAAATACACGTAAGTACTTCAGTACATAAAACCAAAAACTGCAGTTGGAAAATCGCGATTGGCGCGGGGTTGTTGCTCCATGAAGTAGTTTTTTTTTGTTGCTTATTTGTTTGGTCGAAAAGTATCACCATGACCAACGTTTTGCGTGTTTGAATACGGAATACTGAGGCGAGGAAAATGCAATGGGAATGAATCCATCCCATCTGGATCATACCAGTCCAAGTCGATACGGTGTTTCTGTCTCCAGACATGTTCCCAGGTAGTGACGTATGTTGCTCCAACATATATCCAAATATAGCATTCATGTTTACCTTGTATTCTGGATCATGGCGTCGTGTGGAGTGGTAGGTGGTTGCTAACATCTCAGGAACATACTGCCTACATCTTTACAGACAGAACTTACAAAGTCCTCATCTCTAAGTTAGTTGTTGAGATCTTATTGCTTCACGTACTGCCAAATAATGGAGCCGGTATAGCACAGTCGCTATAGCGACTGTCTACAGGCTGGACGACCTAGGGGTTGAAGTTCTAGTCCCGGTAGGGTCAAGAATTTTCTCTTCTCCACATCGTCCATACCGTCTCTGGGGCCCACCCAACCTCATATCCTATACGTACCGGGTGCTCTTTACCTGGTGGTAAAGCGGCCGGGGCGTGAAGGTGACCATTCAGCTCAAGCTAGTGCTGAGGTCAAGAAAATGTGGATTTATACATCCACTCCCCCATACGCCTTCATGGCTTATTGCTCAATTAGTTAAGTACAGGGACAACTTTACATTTTACTGACATGAAACGCATCTAGATTTTACTGTACCACTCTTCCCCGGTTTGTTTTCGCTTGTCCATCCCGTCTTCGGAGAGCTTTGTACACGAAGATCTGATTGGTGTTCAGCTGTAAGTGCTTGTTTGATCTCACAAAGCCTAAGCTGAAGTAAAAGGTAATGTCGTCGAAGTTTAGCTTATATACTGTGTCTGCTCTGTTACGATTTTTTGGCTTCAACAAATTTAATTGATTTAACTTCCGTTTGAAGGGCGGGTCTTTATTTCAGTACCAGACTCACCAGGTTGGATTATTTGGAGTCTCTCTTTAGGTCCGTAGAAGGGAATAAGCCAGCCTTTACGCGCTAATTCTCCCACAATTAATGGAGATTGAATTATTGATCATTATATAGAGGTAAAAGGTAAAGTACCGGTCACGGTAGCCGAGCGGTCTAAGGCATGTACTGTCTTCGCTCGCTTGGAAACCGGGATCGTGGGTTCGAATCCCATTCAAGGCATGGATGTTTAGTTTGTGTGTGTGTGCGTTTTTCTGTGTTTGTGTAGAGATAGAGGCCTTGGAACGAGCTGATCACCCGCTGATCACATTATCTTTAACCTCTAACTATTCTACGTGTGTCATGAGTTGAATACGGAAGCCACTCGCTTGTCGTGTTATGTGGTTTCGCAAATACAACCAATTATTTTGTTTGTCTGTTGGATGAGTAAATAAACTAGTAGAATTTTAGATGGTTGAGGCATGGGTGAAAATCATATTATGAAGTCGTGTATATAAAAACATTTGTGTGGCCCGCGCCGAGTGATGAGGTAGCCGTCATCTGCAGAAGTTGGGTGCTGCTCTGAACCACTCGAACGGTAATGAAGGCGCATTGTGTTCCTCCACACAGGTCCTCTTCTCCCGTTCTACTTCTCAGACCTCATCCCTCGGCACTCGGCGATCTGCTGGGCACTGTGCATTCGAAGTTGACGACTCTAGAGAACAGGTTAGCTCAGTAGATGACGCTTGTGACTTGACTTTGAGAAGCGCCATTTCCAGTCTGCGCACTTTTTCATTTTCTGACATTTCTCTCTCTCTTTTTTTTTTTTTTTTTTGCACAGTACCTTCAGGTCAGTTTCTGAATAATATATTTTGATAGGTCACTCCCCTCAACAGAATTGTGACTACCTGAATGTCCGTTGATTGATAGGGTAATACTGTCAAATCTCATGACACGTCTTACTTCGTAATGTGGAAATAGGCCATATTACGCAATTTGGTAGGTGTATCTAATGTGTATTACTGGATGTTGCAGCTCTACTTTTGCTGACGTTCAGATGAACATGTCTTTCGAATATCCAAATGGAAAATATATCTTACCGTTCTTCCGTAAGGGCGAGACAAGCGTATTCTGTTAATGTTATGGTTTTATGAACAACAGAATATTGAGGTCAGGTCTCTTTGCCTTTTCTTCGGCTTAGAGAATGCTTTTGTGGGGGAAATGTACAGAATCAATTTTATAACGTAGATAGAAACTTTCGCTCTGATTTACTACGTAATTAAGACACATTGGAGGGGGGGGGTCACAGCACGCCAAGAAATTCAAAATTTTGAGTTAATTATTGAAAGAGTTAACATGATTTTATGATGCAAATATGTCGTTTCCCTGTAGTTTCATATTTCTATTTATGAAAAGGTTTTTTTTTCCTTGGCATTACAGCCCCAGTGGGCCTAGGCCTACCTCCATGAACTCCGTTCACTTCGGTTTTTCTAGATCTTACACATATGGTAGGACTCCTTGGGCGGGTGATCAGCTCGTCGCAAGGCCTCTACCTGTAGACAAATACAGAAAAACGCACACAAACATCCATGTCCTGAGTGGGATTCGAACCCACGATCCCGGCTTCCGAGCGAGCGAAGACAGTGCATGCCTTAGACCGCTCGGCTACCGTGACCGGCTATGAAAAGGTTACGATACGTAATTCTGCCGATGTTTTCTCTACTCGCGTTACCAGTTATTACCATTTGGAGTTCATGTTCTGGAGACTTGCCCAGCAGCTGAAAATTTGTTCATGGGTCCTCTGTCCTGTGTTCGACTGACGGCCATGCGTGTAACATCCAGATTATGTCTCTAGTGGACGGTAGGGAGTGTTGTGCTTGCTGAAGAAGTGTCTCACTGCCTTTAGTTATGTGTGTGGTAATGTTCTGACGGTTCTGACGTTCACAAGTGCATGTTACGTCCCTCTGCTTTGTTGAATTGGTTGTGGGCTCTTTCTAGTCAAAAGCAGTTACGAGACAATCCCGTTCGACATTCCGTGTCGTTAGTCCACAAGCGAACTATACCGACCGAGCGACCGCCAACTTTTGCGGATAGAGGGTGTCGCGTGGTCAGCGCAACGAATAACCACAGCCGTTAATTTCGGTTTTCTAGACCAGAGCCGCTATTTCCCTGAAATAGCTCCTCAGTTATCCTCACGAGACTGAGTATACCCCGTTCCATACCCACTATCTCTTAGAAAATCTGGTAGTGCCGGGAATCGAACCCGGGACCTCCGGATTTGTAGCCAGGAAATCTGACCACTAGACCACAGATGCCGCCCCTTTCGACACTCTGAAGGAGTTATTAGGAGGGTATCGCCTGGTCTCTGTCCCCACAAGACCACACACACCGTTCGTGTCTCGGTAGGAAGTACGAGTACAGGTACAGCCCACGATTCCATTGTGCTGGCGTGTTAGGAAGGCCGCCCTTGTTGAATATGATATTTGTTTCATTTGACTGTGGTTTATTGAAGGGCGCATTCCATAGATCAGATTATATGGCATCGGGATATTAGTGGATAATATTGTCGCGTATTGGGTGTATAACGCGACAAATAACTTCACGCCGTATTTGATATAGCGAATTTTATTTCACATTCGCACTTACAGTCACACAATTGACAGTTTTAGAACTACTGCTATCTGCAGTATCACAAATACTACACTCCAAATGCCACAATACAACTGACTGGTTGCTGGCTAACTCGGAACTAACTCGGAGGTAGCTCGAGGACTAACTGTGAATAGCCTTCGCTGCTCCTCATGTAGCCTCGATCGGACAATACAGAAAACGGCCACGTAATAAGCACCCTTGTTGCCTGGCGCTGTGTTGCTAGCAACGCTAGCGGTAGTAACCGCTGTTACTACCGTCGTCTCGCAATCCTGGTTACCCGCGCTGCCTAGCAACCCGCGGTACCCTTGGTGACGTCATCGCTGTTGACTCGCGTTGCATAGCGACCAGGATACTAGGACTCGGCTAACTTCGGCTTCGCTCGGCACATCACGGCTGGCGGGGGGGGGCGTCATCCATAGCTCAACATGTCACAATATTTTGGGAAGGATGTGGCAGGAAGGACTCATGGCTTAATTTGAGGAAGTATCCTGTCACTTGCCTGAAGCCACGAATCGCATCAGTCAGGACAGCTGTCCCCGGTCCATGATGGGGAAACCGGGATCTGCGGAACAATAAGCAGTAGTGCCACCCATTCAGTTCTGATGTGTACCATCGTTTAAGAACTGTACGTAAATTTTTCCCATATGGAGGCTGGTTAGAATACCTCCACCTTAGCCTTGAAGTCGTATAAGGCATGAAAAGGGAACCCGGTACCTGGGCTTACAACTGGGCCGTCCTATCACTGAGGGACATAAATACGGAGACCTGGCCCTCCACATTGGGAATTGGACGCAGGGCTGACGACCTCACTGTG